TCCGGTTAGGATTTGTTAGGAATGAGTTGGTTGATTTCTCATCGATTATAGTCTAACGGATGTTTGTTTGTTCTTGCAGATATCGAAGACCCTGCTGAGCTCCCGAACAAGCTTACTAGAGCTCTTTTCCGAAAGCTGCAGCAGACTCCCTGTACTTGGGCGTCGTACACCACTTCGCGAATTGGATCAGCCAGGTTTCTAGACCGATACCACGCTTCCTTCTTAGATCCCGTACCGGTTACGGATTTAGAAGGTAATATGCTTGTCCTTATGTCTCTGACATATACGAGTTCGTTTTAGGATTGCTGTAAGCTAAAGTGAATTTGGTTATGTAGTTTCCGAAGGTAATTCTGTAGTATCGATTTCGACGGAAGCTAGCACCTTAGGAACCGAGAAAACCAAATCAGAAAAAATGCCTCTCCAACCATCATTCCGAACTAGGGGTAGACCCTCGAAAGCTGCCAGTACCTCGCGAGGAAGCGAGAAGAATCAGGGAGGCTCCTTCCTTAGCTCTGTGAAGGAGGTCCTTGATGATGGGGTCTCAGTTCCAGCTAAGGATGCTTATATTATGGAGGCAGAGGTAGCTCAGGAGGTGGTTCCCCGTTCTACAGCTCAGGTCACGGAAGTCGAGACTTAGGTGGCTAAGGATCCTCCCGAGACTGAACCTCATAGGAGCAAGAGGTTGCGTGCTGATCAAAGTGACAGACCTTTCAGGTCCTCCTCTTCTTCTTCGAGGGGAAGGACCGTTGGATGGAATTTTTCTCACTCGAAGCCTGGATCGATTCTTGATGACCCTTGGGGTTTGGCGACTTTAATGAGGCACATGAAGCAGACGGGATGTTCCCTTCCTCCAGTTAGCAGTCTCACTAACAGAGATGAGTTCATCAATATCGCTCATTACATGGGTCAGGTAAGAGTCTTTGGCCTCTCGTTATTGCTTTAGATAGATATTTACTTGGCTGATTATCTTTTGGTAGCTGGCTGGAGCTATCAACAAGGCTCAGCTGAAGTTCGAGGAGACGGTGGGTAACGCGCCTAATCCTGAACAGTTAGCCCAGGTCACCGAGATGGTCAAAGCTACCAAGGTTGAGCGAGATCAAGCCAGAGCTCAGGTCTCGAGACTCCAATCCGAAGTTGGGAGGCTCGGTTTGAAGTCTGATACTCAGCAAGGGAAGATCGAGAGCATGGAAATCGATATCAGAGTGAAGAGCAGGAAAATTTCCGAGCTAGAGAGTGCTCGCAAGAT